GGTAAACGAGCAGACGTGTCACCTGATGATAAGCAATCGCCCTCGCCCATGGACACCCGCAACACTAGAGGAGTTACAAGTTCGCAACCGGCCTTTTAGGGGTTAGGAAATTGAGGATTGTTGGGTATTCAGGGATTGCGGTGATGCGGTCAACCTCACTCACATGACAAAACACAACGCAAGCGTTGTTTAACTTCTGTTTTGGAAAAAAAGGTAATTAATAATTAATATAATAATGGGGCAAGATATTTGTGGAGTCGAAACAAGAACGGTTTTATATTAAAAAATCTAATATCCGATAATATAAAGCATAATTTTATATCTGTACGATACTACTTTCAGTAGTATCTGATGATGGTAATAAACTGAAACCTTCATATACGTCAGTGAATGAATGAATTGTAATAAATACCTTCCAGCTGATAGTAATTATAATAAACTTACTATCATAACAACTATTCCTTTATTCAAATCCGTATCCAGATCCGAAGCAACATATCGTTATATTGCTGTAAACTTTCTTAATCAAATTATGGTCTGGCAATACTGAGAGAACAAAGGAACTTGGATACTGTACATTTTGGTATAAGCAGACATGTGGTACAACTGTGTAGTCAAATTATTTGTTCTTGTTTGTTTAGTGATATAGGAATTGGAGAAATATATTGATTTGTATTTCATATTAGCTTCTGCCCGCGATTTCGTAAGCGCAATCCCGTTTTCTCCCGTTCCCGTAGGATTTACGGGATTTTTTCTGTCTTAAGAATCTTTTACTAATAATAACAAATACAACAAAAAAACATAACATAACATAACATCACGCCTTTTATCCCCGAAGGGGTAGGCAGAGGCAGTGGCATGCAGTCCATATAGGCAAAAAGGCTTTGCTTGACATAAAATGTACAAACGCGTTTATTAAGATTCAATAATAAAATAAAAGTTTGTAAAAAAACGGCTAACATAAATATACATTCACATATACTATACACGGACCGCACGCCTTTGTAAAGCAATGAATGCGCCCCGCACGCACCACGCATGCGCTACTATTCCTTAAATCTTGGTTGTTGGTTGTGACGTCACAAAAAGTATGCAACGCGCATGCGTGAAGGTCACGTGACTATGGTCACAGCAGAGAATAACCATTCATAAACGCAAAAAAGTCATTGTTGCCGGCCTTTGAAATTTATGAATCTGCGCCATCTATTGAATTTTTTGTTAAAACTTCTGAACACGTTCGATATAATGCGAATGTCTTTTTATAATTATGCATACTAAAAAAATATGTTTCAGGTATTTTAATTAAATCTTAACATTTTTACGCGTTGTCGGTTTACAGAAACTTTAAACGAGGAGTTGACTTTATTATTTTAAAAGTAAAAAGGAATAACTTTTGAGTAGCGGCAACTTGACGTTTTGATAACTCAAAGTTTCAAATTGTTATCAACGAATGTTTCTTATTGGAAAATAATAATAAGACAATGACGGAACTCCATTTGACTTATGTAAATTAACGTTTTGTTTTTTTATAATTAAACACTGGGTTGCCTTAATGTTATAGCTATAATTTTTTTATAATAAACACTCAATTGACTACGATGGGTTCATTCATTCCAATGTTTTCGGCCATATTGTTTTCATGTGATGTGCGATCGCTTTGTTTATGTTTTCGTTTAAATATAAGGAATTAGTTTTAAACATAAAGTTGCATAAATATGTGTAGAAGTAGTTAAATGTATGTGTAGGTTTTTCAAATAGTGTATTTGTTTATCAGTGTCTAGTACAAGTACCTATATTATTCGATTGTGAAGTTTGTGTTGATAATAGATAATTTTTTGTGTTTGTTGAAAGTTAAAAACAGTAAGTTTTCGCAAAAATGTGTCCTACAACGACTAGATTCAGGTAATGACCATAGGCAGTACTCAAGTTACGAGAATTGACCCAAGTCAAAGGTAGGTAATGTAAATATTATGTACTTTAATGGATCTTTTATTGATTTTCTTGTTTGATAATTCTTAAAAATATCAACTTAGACTTCGGGTTGTACTGATTTACATATTAATTTATTATTAATAATTATGTAATGTAATAACAAATGTACCGCTTATAAATACTCGGCTCGGCCACAGCCGGCCGCGCTTGTTATTGTTTTGTTTGTTGGTAGGTACCTACGTTCTTAAATTCGTAATATATTATGATTTTGAATAGATTATCTAGCAATTCGATAATTGAATTTGGTTCATCAAATGTATGCTTCATTATTAGTATAATTAATAGATGTTCATTTAATTGTAAGTTTTGTTGGCTTATTCCATAGCTGATGAAGTAGTTCACAAAAAATACGCGAGATGTCAGTGTATGTAATTTGGCGACAGAATAAACCACAATATTCTTGAACGCACTTTTCAAAATGTATTCTGTACATGTAGGTACCTGTCTTGTGTGAGTATGATTGTCATTGTGTGACCGGGGGGGAGGGGTTTAATCATACGATATTTAATTGCCTACCCTGTCTCGAAAACCTGTGCACGCCACTGG